CTGTCTCCACATCCATTCTGGGAATCGAAGTCCCATCTAGTGGCTGGTAGTTCCACTGTCTCCACATCCATTCTGGGAATCGGAGTCCCATCTAGTGGCTGGTAGTTCCATTGTCTCCACATCCATTCTGGGAATTGAAGTCCCATCTAGTGGCTGGCAGTTCCACTGTCTCCACATCCATTCTGGGAATCGAAGTCCCATCTAGTGGCTGGTAGTTCCACTGTCTCCACATCCATTCTGGGAATTGGAGTCCCATCTAGTGGCTGGCAGTTCCACTGTCTCCACATCCATTCTGGGAATCGAAGTCCCATCTAGTGGCTGGTAGTTCCACTGTCTCCACATCCATTCTGGGAATCGGAGTCCCATCTAGTGGCTGGCAGCTCCACTGTCTCCACATCCATTCTGGGAATCGGAGTCCCATCTAGTGGCTGGCAGTTCCATTGTCTCCACATCCATTCTGGGAATCGAAGTCCCATCTAGTGGCTGGTAGTTCCACTGTCTCCACATCCATTCTGGGGATCGGAGTCCCATCTAGTGGCTGGCAGTTCCACTGTCTCCACATCCACCCTTTTTTTTCTCCCCCCTCGTGCCTTGATTTCCACCCTTTGTGGGCAGGTGAGTTGCCAACCTGAGATCCTGGGTAGTTGGGTGGGAGGCTTGTTGCAGCCCCCCACCCCACACCCCACCCCGGCTAACCGAGCCTCTCCTCTTCCAGAGCACCTACTGCTCCATCATGGTCCAGCACTGCGAATCCCTCAACCGTTCGGTGCAGGTGGTGAATCTGGATCCGGCAGCAGAACACTTCGACTACGATGTCATGGCAGGTAAGGATTCCCCCCCCTCCCAAAACTGGGATTTACCTGGGACATCAAGGGACCCACAAATTCAACGAGCTAATTTGGGTTGAGGGCAGAAGCAGCTCATCAGAATGTATCCATCCGGGATTCCTTTGAGTCCCAAGCATCATCATCAATTAATGACCCCATAATCCCTTGCGGGGGGTGGAGTGTTTATTGGCCGGATGCTCTTCTTGTTGCCAGTACGGAGTTTCATTAGAGTTGGGTCCCGTCTCCCCTCTTTGCCTTTCAGATATCCGAGAGTTGATTGAGGTGGACGACGTCATGGAAGACGATTCCCTCCGGTTCGGCCCCAACGGCGGCTTAGTTTTTTGCATGGAATATTTTGCAAACAATTTGGACTGGCTGGAAGAATGCCTTGGCCACGTAGAAGATGATTACATCCTATTCGATTGCCCAGGTAAGCCGAGGAAAGGTGTAAGATATATATATATATTTTTCTGTATCCTTGGATGAAGGATGAGGATCTCTGGGGGTTTATTTGGTTTGGTTTTCAGTTAAAAATGGAAAATTTATCCTTTATAGGGGGAGAGGAAGCATAAAATGTGGATAAGTAAATAAGTTTGATAAAAGGTATTAAATTTTATTTAATAAACAGAAGTCCCAAGCGGTGGAAATTCAGTGGCTAGAAACCTTCCTGGCACTTGGTGGCCTTGAAATCTTAGTGGGGAAGAAACGTGTAAACTTTGGTATGATTAAAAAAGCAAAGAGGGAAGATATATCTCATTTTACGATAGTCAAAAAGTCTCTTCTCTCTCTTTCTGGTTTCTCCAGCACGCACAAATACCCAGTCAGTCTGTGATTGTTTTTGACTGATATCTGATTTTTTCCCCCTCTGGTTTTAAATATCTTCCCTGAGGTTTTCTTCTGTGGAATTGGGAGAAGGATATTTTGAAACGAATAAACTTATTTGTCCTTTTTTTTTNTCCTTCCTTCCTTCCTCCTCTCCTTTCCCTTCTCTCCTTCCCCTTCCTCCCCTCTACCCTTCCCCTCTTCTTCCCTTTCCTCCTTTACTTAACCAGTAAACAGTAACAAGAGTTGGAAGGGACCTTGGAGGTCATCTAGTCCAATCCAAGGAGGGCTTGTGAAGTTGACACCCCCCCCTTGGATGGGAGACACCCCCCCCACTCTCCCCAAAAAACAGTTGCACCCCAATCTAGAAAACAAAAGGGGGGGGTCTGCAGCCTTGCAGACCACCCCCCCTTTCCAAGGAGGAGCCTAGAGGCCAACTGGGGAGGGGGTGGCGAGAGCTGGGAAAGGTGCCCCCCCGCCCCGCCTGCCAGACCCCCAGGTGCCCCCCCTCAAGAGGCTCAATGGTGGAAACCTTTAAAAAGCCCCCCAAGAAAGAGGACGGGGGGGGGGCTTGGGTGGCTGGAGGGGGGGGGGAGCGTCTCTGAATTCCCCAGCCAGGAAAAATGGGGAGGGGGGAAATCGGGGGATCCCCAGGCCTCCCCCTCTCCCACCCAAGCGCCCCCTCACCCGAGCGCCCCCTCCAGGCGGTTCGCTTGGCCGACCGTTCAGCAGCAGCAACAGCAGCAAGCAGGTAGGCAGGCAGGCAGGAAGGCAGGCGGGAGATCTCGCGAGAGCGCCGCCGTTTCCCGCGAGAGGCGCCCGAGGAAGCCGCAGGGCCGGACCAGAGGGAAAACCTCAGCTGCTCTTCCTCGGCTTTTTTTTTCCTCCCCTTCCTCCTCTTCCTCCCCCCCCCCCCTAAGTAGTCTCTGTTGCTGGCGGAAGTGAGCCGCCAACCATAGAGCGGCGGGAAGGAAGGGCCGAGAAAGGCGGCTGGCTGGCTGGCTGGCTTACGGGTCGTGCTTTGGGCCAAGCGCCTTCACATTCGTTGGTTTTGTTTTGTTTTTAAATCCCCCCCTTTTGGCACCATGCCTCGCTATGCCCAGCTGGTGATGGGGCCCGCGGGGAGCGGGAAGGTGAGTCTGGGAGTGGGGTGGGTGGGTGGGCTACCAGCTCTCTTGTGTGTGTGTGTGTGTGTTGGGGGAAGCTTCCAGGGCAATGTTTTCCCAAGCTTGGCAACTTAAAAGATGGGGTGGGGGCAGTAAGAGAGTGGGAAGGGACCTTGGAGGCCATCTAGTCCAACCCCCCCCACTTCAGCATGCTGGCTGGGGAATTCTGGGNTGTTACAAACACAAATTATTAATAACAGTTATGAGATCATATAACTGTGAATGTATATATGAGAAATAAAAATTTATATTAAAAAAAAGAGAGATGGTGGAATCATCAGAGAACGCCAGAAAACCCACGCGCCTTCTATCCCACGGTGAAGAACCATCTTTCTAATTAATGTGTTGATTCCTATCATGAATTGTATTTCCTCAGCTAAAATAGTTACAATTATTTCCTTAGTTCCTATCATGGATTGTATTTTCTTAGTTATAGAACACTGATTTGCAGAATAAGCTAATTTAAGGTAAAAGGTGTCCCTCGCACATCTGTGCTAGTCGTTCCCGACTCTAGGGGGCGGTGCTCATCTCCGTTTCTAAGCCGAAGAGCCAGCGCTGTCCGAAGATGTCTCCCTGGTCATGTGGCCGGCATGACTCAACGCCGTTCCCTTCCCACCAAAGGTGGTGCCTATTTTTCTACTTGCATTTTTTAGCGTGCTTTCGAACTGCCAGGTTGGCAGAAGCCGGGACGAGTCACGGGAGCTCGCTCCGTTACGCGACGCTAGGGATTCGAACCGCCGAACTGCCAACCTTTCTGATCGACGAGCTCAGCTGTCTTAACCACTAAGATCTAGACATTGTAAGCTAACTTACATTGTATTAATTCCTCTCTTTTTTGCAAACGCCGATTCCCATTTTTAAAACCCCAGACACACAGAAGATAACGGTTGACTTTATTAAAGTGTTTTTCAACCTCGGCAACTTTTTAAAGACATGTAGATTTCAACTCCCAGAATTCCTAAATCTACTGAGGTTGAGAAACACCGCTCTAGATTAAAGCCTTTCCAGCTATCCAAAGCTGGACAATCTGCAAGTAACCTTAATGGGGGTACGTGGAAGGAAACCCACTGGCGGCTCACGAAGCTGCCTTTTCCATGCCTACCTCCGCAGTAGAGCACCCGAAGCGGATAGTCCACATCTGGTCTGGCGTTACACCGTTGGTCTCCCCGGCAGTCCAGGACCACAGGCTCCACGGCCGTCTCCATTCTTCCCGTCTCACCAGAAACCGGAGACCTTCCGTTCAAACGCCAAACCTAGGAACAGAGAGGTGGTGGTTGAACCTTCCAAGGTCAGGCAGGAAACTTTTTTCCCCCTCATATATACATTCACAATTATATGATCTCATAGCTGTTATGAATAATATGTATTTGTAACAATTTTTCTCCCCTACA